GTGAGGTGGCTAGCCAACCTGATCGGGAGCCTGCACTCCCGCACCTGTTGGAGGCCAACCTGGCAATTTCCAGCAAATTGCCAAGACCGAGACTCCTATTTTCAGGGCATTGTCCTAATACCCAACCCAGCTGGATCCCCTCACAGCCTAGTCGAGGAATGGAGGGGGCCCACTGGTTGAGGAGGAATTCTGAGTGTTCCCCTAAGTCGAGGCAGAGAGATCACGAGAACTGTCTTTGGAAGAAATGGAGATGTTTCACACATGCCTCTCTTGGCCCGGCGCTCTGTTGAAATTTGTTTTGAGGTGGCTGAAGAAACAAAGAACACCGAGACCTGTATTTTCTGAGGCAGTAGTAAATCAGCCAAATCCGCCTAAAATAGAAAGGTTGTTGCATAGTGAAAAGATGTTCCGGCCAAGGGTATAACCGATAGTATATTCATGTCAAACAGGTTTCTCTACACTTGAATGCTGACCGTGACTTAGATAGGTCCTGGACCTTGCCATACCCAGTGCTAATGTGCCATGCATGGTCCCAGACATCCCTGGGCTTTAAAAAAAAAATGGCCATTTGGAGAACATTCCATAGTGTGAAGCTAACCCCCTAGGGCAGCTCAGAGTGGAGAACGGCCTTAGAGAGGCTTATTTCATGACTTCTCTTCTCAGCACTATTCCAAGAAATAGATGGCATCTTTAAGAGTTCTCTAGAAGGTATGGTCAAAATACTTTAAAATTCTGGACAGCTCAGCCTGTCAACCCTTACTAAATCTCACAGATGCTACCAGTGTATCATACAATGCAGACAGACAGATGGACAGACTCAGAAAACATATCTTTCCAGTACCAGTATTTAACCACTTTACTGTGCTCACACTGAGCACTCAATAGTGACCCAGCACCATACCACGTGCTATAGTCTTGGCGGTATGTGTATGTTGGGGGGGGGTAGAAGTTATTACCAGAGAAGTAGGAGACCAAGCTCACAGTTCAACTGGTAAGTTTTGTCCAGCACCTTGAATACATTCACAAAGTAATCTACATCTATGTCTACAGCAGAGCAGAAATCAAGTTTTTTCCTGAGTGTTGCATGAGAGGTATTTGCTAGGCAGGAAGCAAGCTGGCAATGTTTGTCTTCAGTGCCCTTTCAACATCTCTTCTCTTTTGCTACTTCTGGCTGCTCAGAGGTTCCCCCACTGTGTTTCCTAGAATTCCAGAGTCTCCAAAATTAACCCCTGCACCCCTTTAGCAGAGAACAGAAAAGTGTAGGGAAGAAGGACCTTAAGGACAAAAGGTTTAACAGCCTAAGGTGGTAGACCAGAAAACCCATTCAGGGAACGTTGACTTGTGAGAATAGACCCCAGTGAATTTCTACTGGAGACCTTTTAGAAGGGGTTGGCTGTGGGCACTAAAGAGAACTGTTCAGATCTTCCCTTTTGAGACCCCTGCTGCTAAGAGCACAGCTGGCCGATTGACAGACTCCAGCTGCAATCTTTGGGGCCACGTCGCATTTACTCCGAGGTCACACTCTCTGGGGCTGCTCCAGTCAGTGACTACAGGTGGCGGGGTTATTAGAATTGAGCCATTCTTGCCCCACATGGGATTCTTCCTGCAGGTGACCTTCGCTCAAGGACTCAATGTAGGGCCTGGCTGAGGCAGTCTGAGGCTCCTCCTGCTCAAGCTTCTTCCCTTCCTTCCTTCCTTCCTTTTGGAGGGATTAGTCCACACGCTCTCCCTGTCTCCCCTGCTCGTTTCCCCTTTATCACTCACATGAATACCCCCAATAATTGTCTTGAATGTCTAATCCCATTTTGGCTTCCGCTTCTTGGAAGACTTGAACTGACCCAGTGACCATCCCCTCCCCCATTCCCGTTGACCCTCCGATATATGGGCTCAGACACTCAAGTAGACAGCCTTCTCAAAGTGACATTCACACTGGTGATTTCTCCTGTCATACAAGGATTAAAGGTAGGAGGGGTAGTGTGCCTTAGAACTGGGGTGAGGACCCTGGCTCTCCTAGGGTGAGCCCTTATCATTGTACTAATGATGCCAGGCCACTCTGCATATACACTACTGCCTTGAAGGGCAGACTGTGTCTAACCTGCCTCTTTGTCCCCAGCCTGGGGCACAGTGCCCAGACCACAGTAACTGAACTGAATAAGTACAGAGAGCAGAAGGCAAGAGCCAGGACTGGACCCTGTGGCCCAGACAGGTGGTCATCCTCACCTACCCGACCTGCGTTCCACACCGGGGCTGGGGGTGGGGCGCACATGGCCCCAGAGCTCACTGAGCCGTGGAGCCTTGGTTGCCATGCGCCAAGAGAGGGGTTACCTTAGAGCAGATATGGAGATCAACTGCAGCCTGTCAAGATCTACTAAGGCCTGGCGGTGCCCTCTGCTGCCCACGCATGCTGTGGAACATGGATCACAGCAAAAAGGCTTTATGGCTCATTTGTGGCTAATCCCATGATCCCTCCAGAATCCTCCTCCATCGGCTCCTATCCCCACCTCCTCTTCCATGCCCTGGTCCAGGCATAAAAACAGCTGGGGCTGCCACCAGGGGTGCCACTGGGATTGAAGCTGTCAGAGAAGACTTTCTTGAGGCAAATTTTTAGCCAAGATTCACACAGTGGACAGTGTGAGATGTTGCTTGTGTGGAACAGAGAGGCTCTCTGGAGGATGGTGGCTGAAGGGCATGGTGGCTAAGCAGGGAGCAGCAGGGCAAGAGACCGCCCCAATACAACTAGAGTTTTAGCCAGGTGCTTTCAGCCCATGCAGAAGCTACTACACATGAACTAAAGAGCCAGAATGTTCTTGTGGTAACTCAAGTGGGGGTGAGTGAATTGGGAGTGAGTGTGGACAGAACCTACTCCCTACCCTGAGGTGTTGGCCAAAAATAACCATCCCAGTGGCCCATCACCGGCACACTGAAGGCCTCTTGATTTCTTTAGCTCTCTTCTCATGTAACCTTGGGTGGAGCACAACAAATCCACGGGAAGAGGACACACCTGCTGTGTCGAAGCCTAGGACCCGGGTGCCCAGGCAGAGCCTAGAATCTTCCCAAGGCCACAATGAAGCTTCCTTCCAACAAGGTGAAAAGCCCCCACACCCACCTCACAGAAAGCACCAGACACTGTCATTTACTCTGATGTTATGAATATTTATTTTTTCTTCTTAAAAATGTACAAAAAATAAAATAACTGTATTTATAGTTTATAGATTCCCCCTCTCCCATTTACAAAACTATTAAGTTACATTTGCCTTTTTTTTTTTAAACACAAGAGCAAATTGTCCATCTATTAATCTCCCTTGCTTGCTTTTAAGAAAGGGCCGTTCACAGAATTTGGCACAAACCCTCTGTTTCTGTTGCATTTTCCTAATTTTAAATAAGAAGGAAAATAAATGTTTGATTCATTTCACGCTTCCTAAGTTTCTGGGCTTAGTCTTTGAGGATCCAAGTCCAAGATGACATCTGACTGCATTTTTCTGTTGGACCCAATTTCCAAACACCTGTTAAGTCTAAGCAACTTGGGTATATATAGGACATATACTTGTTTTACGTGTCCCTCATCTTACATGGATTTCCTTTTTAAAGTGTATTTATTTGAGTGTGATTAATTTGAGGGACAAAAGAAGAAGAGGCAGTTTTTCCTATCTTTCTAGAGTGTTTCTGCTCAGAAAATTGTGCTCACTGAGGCTCTGCTGACATTCACGGTGGAGGACATATCCATGCTAAGCCACAGGCACTCTGAGAATGCAGAGGGCACGGTGGGGAGGGGGGAACAGATCAGATTGTAAGTGATGCTCTGCGCCACCCTTTGGTGGCACTGGCCTCAGCTTCTTTGTTCTGATAGGTCGGGGTCACCACAGTGATTGCTCAGGGACCGGAAACAAATGCAAAAGCATCTCTGAGGCATTCTCTGCCTAGGGCAGGACCAGCAAACACTTTCCTATAGAGGCTAGAGAAAGAAGGGGAGGGTAACCTGTGTCAGATTGCCCCCAATTTTTTCTTTTCCCTGCTCTGGACTCTACGCCCCAGCCCAACTGTATCTGCAGTTTCATCTGCCAATCATGTTTTAACCCGCCCTTGCAGGTTCAAGGCGCATGGGAAGTGCAGAGTACATTGTGTATTTCCAACACTGAACTTGTCCATCACAGAACAGAGCTGCATCAGCACCCAGGAGGGTCCCCAGGCTGCTGGTCCAGGGCATGGCAGTCAAGAGTGGGAGACCAGGGAACAGGCTGGAGCAGAACTGAATCCAGGATGCAAACCTTTGGCACCAGGGGAAGGGGTGAGGTGTACAGAAGATGCATAGAAAGGTGCCCCCTCACCACCACTGGACACCACCCTAGGTGCGGCCCCTGCTCCCCGTCAGAGCCTCAGGAACAACAGCTGGGCTGGAAGCAGCCCTTCCGTCCTGTTCTCCGCCTCAAGGGCAGGTGGGATGGGAGGCAGGGAGGCCTTGGAAAGACCCCCATACCCCCCTCCCAAGACGTCAAAGTGCTTCACAAACAATTCGAGGCCCGTACACAGAATCCGTCCTAGTGAAGGACCTTGGGGGGAGGACATGTCTGGCTACCCAAAGGCTTGTGCTTCAACCCACAAGGCTGAACGCAAACCCGAGATCACCTACCTGTCCCTTCAAAGAGAACAGCAACCCAGGACGGCTCATCATCCCGCCATCGTTTAAGGAAGCGTTTTTTTCTCCTCTTTGTCTCCCAGGGCACGTGCGGGAGGACGACACCTCCGCCCTCCCAGTCATCCTCGGGAGGACTAGCGCAGAAGAGCTAGAGCGCTCTGGGGGCGCCCCCTGGGGCGACACCCCCCCACACCCCGCCCCCGCATCAGGCAGCTTGGAGCAAAGGTGGCCCCGGGCCTTTGATTCGGAGCTAAGTTGACAGACAGCCGAGCTCGCAGAGCTGCAGTCAGGCTCCTCCAGGGGAGGCACGTGAGACGGTGAGGCGCTCCCGCACGGCCAAGTCCTCAGGTCCTCGGGATCGAGCTCCGCTGCGCCCCGCACAGCGCCCCGCAGTCTCTCCGCCTAGCCCTGTGCAGCTGGAGGGGCGGGGGCCTCCCAGGGAGACCAGCGCAGCGGCCCACAGGGCGGGCGTGCCCCCCACTCCTGCAGCGTCCTTCTCCGCACCCCCGGGGTCCCCTGACGCCCCGAAGGCCGCGTCCCTGCCCGGCACAGAGGCAGCCCTCTGGCGGGAAGCGGAGTCCCGGCTCTATCTGCCCCAGGCCAGCGGCAGTAAACGCGCCCGCACACCACAGGTAAAATATATTATTGCCATATTATAAACACTATGTACACGCCAGCCAGGCGTACCTTCTGGCTCACTCATTACACGGTGGCTGAATGTCTTCCTGGGCAAGGCCCGTGAGCCACTCGCTGGAAACCCTGGGAAGGTTCCCCACAGCAACCTGTAGGCTCCTGCCCAGGCAGCGGCGTCCACCTCCAGCCCGCCTGACTACTGCAGTGGCAGGAGCGCTTTTGGTCCAGCCCCTCAGGAGAAGCAGAGGTGAAGCAGAAGGACCCAGACGTTTTCAGGCTCTTCAGGGCCAACAGACTGGCTGTGTTTCCCTTGGAAGGGTAGGGCTCTGGACGGTCTCATGTGGGGCCAGCAGTGCCCTGCAGCGTCCCAGTGGGCCTGGACCCTGGGCTCCAGGGCAAGGTGGACAATAAATAAGTGTCTGACGGGCCCAGCATCCCTTCCTGAGGGGCTCGGGCTTCGGCTCTAGTACGAGCCAGTGGATGGGCCAAGCACATCGGTAAGGAACAGGGCTCTGTGCCTTGCCCGGCTCCCAGCACAGTCTGTAACAGTGGTTTTGGGGTGGGGGAGGTGGGCGTCCGGGTTCCGGGCCAGGGCCTCCATTGCTCTGGGGAGGAAGGCACGGAGGGCCGATGCCAAGGGGAGGCCGAGAGCAGGGCTCAGATTTCCATGAGTGTGATCTTAAAGCCTTCCACCATGCTCTCCATGTTGAGAATGAAGGTGTCCTCGTTCGAGTAGTGCTCAATGATGTTGTCGTCCATGTTCACCAAGATGCTACCAGGGAGTGGGGTGAGGGGTAAGAAACAAAGACACCATCAGCAACGCAGCGTGCAAGGACATATGCCAAGCTCGGTGGGGGGGTCCCTGAGCCATTCTTTGGGGGGGGGGGGAGGATATGGAGGAGCGAGGAGATAAGGCAGGAAAAGAAGACCCTTATCATATTTTCTTTCCCCAGAAACCAGTTTGAGGAAAACAAAGTCTCGATTTGTCAGAACCAACCTCGCAACTCCTTATTAAATGGGTCTTCAGAGATTGTTCCCCCTTGCTTTATTGAACAGTAAACTGTGGCCCAGAGCGGTGAGCCTGAAATCACAGGGCAGCTCTTCACAGAGCCAGGTCCTACACAGGTCCTAACTGTTTTCACTAAACCATACGGCCTCTTGAAAACGCACTTTAAAAAAGTGCTCCAAAAAATAATAAAATAAAATAAAATAAAATAAAATAAAATAAAATAAAATAAAAAAGTACTCCAAAGGCGGAGGAAGAGGAAAATCAAGAAGCGTGGCTACCCTTCGCTGAGCACCTCATTTGTTTTAGTGCTTCCAAGACCTTGTCTTTAATCTTCCAAGCAGCCCCGAAGGTGTGACCATGTCCACTTGGCAAATGAGAAAACCGTGTGCAGATAAGTGAAATCAGCTCCCGGGGTCCCTCCCGCCGATTCGTGGCTGAGCTGGATTGGAAACTGCTCTGCCTCTCGCGGAAGCTCACACTTCGCCACGGGACCTACTCGGGTCAGCTATCCCAAGTGCGTTGGTTTTAAGAGAATCAACAACTTCCAGGGTCTGTCCCTGACTCGGAAATCAGACAGATCTCTTTGCCTTTGAAGAACGGACTCATCTGACAGCTATGTGTCAACTGGCAAGTTTTTTAGCCTATGAGAGCCTCAGTTTATTCTTCTGCAAAAATTAGAAAAACAACCCCGCTCTACAGAGTTGCTGTAAGGAGTCATGTATTTACTGCAGGGCCAACATGGTTCTCGATGGAAGTGAAACGTTATCTCCACTGGCAGGCACGTCGGCACTGAGGGAGCCAGACCTTGAGACGGCCCCCAAACCTCCTCATCAAAGAAACACCCTCAGGCCATGGGGAAAACCGTCACATGCATTTAAGTGAGCTTGCCGACCAGGGCTCCGGCAGAAAAGGTTTCCCGTTTGACTCCCAGTCTACCAAGGGACCGTCACTCAGAAAGCCTGAGCATCTCAGATAATCCATTTCCTTTATGACAGAGGCTCCGAGAAGTGTTTAAAGACCACTTTCTGCATTCTGTAGGATAGCAGCTCCAGAAGCTGACTCAGTGGAAATTGTCTCCTGGAATGAAATCCGGCTCCTACAGCCTCGACTCTTAGAGCCCCCTGCACAGGAAGCCGGGGGAGGCCAGAGGCGGCAGCGTGGGGAGGACTAACAGCTCCTGCAGGGGCCCAGAAACTACTGAACACCCAGTAAAGGAGGTGCTGTTCTTAACCCTGAGTGAGAACAAGCAGGTCCAATGATCATTCAGATCATTTTGCTAGTAATTACCTCAGAAGACTTCTCTGTGCCCTGAACGCTTCCTGTTCTTACTGTGTCATCCTGGAACCAATCCCAAGAGCAGTGTGTGATTCTTTACAAACTCTGCTGCAGAGGGGCGACTTGGCCTCCTCCCCGGTGTCCTCACCACTCTGGACCCTTCTATGCCACTGGCTCACCCTGTCCTCGGAATGGGACGTCTCAGCTGGCATCAGGACAATGCAGTCTCCTTCCCACCGTCTTACTGAGATCTCCCAAATGCCTTCAGGGCACAAGCTGCTTAACCAAGGTCAGGAAGATAAGGTAGGCGCCATCTTTTTTTTTTTTTTTCCCCAAGGCACTATGTAGACCGATCTGATTTGGAAGTCAGTTTAAGTTGTTTCTTTCTTACCCTTTTTTGCTTTTCTTGTAAAGCTTTGTGATCTTCTCCACAGGCAGCCCATACTTCTCAGATATCTGTAACACCAGTAACAGAAAGGCGAGTGAGCATGGAAGGGGAAGCCGAGCAGAGGCAGGAGGGAAAGCGCAGTTTCACTCTCTTGGAGATTTTCCTGGGTGTCAGTGTCCTTCACGCGGGAGTCAGGCTCCCAGTATGCCCGGGGTGCGAGGCTCTCCCCTGGACAGACCTTAAATCATTCAACAAAAGATACAGCCATGTGACAGTGTAATCTATGATGAAGGTGTCATTTCAGATCAGCAGTAAAAGATGGACTCTGAGATGCTAGATTAATCAAGTGGCCATATTGAAAAAATTTCAAGTTAAGCTGGAGCCCTTCTCCACTTCTTCTTTTTTCTTTTTTAGTGAGTTCTGTGCCCAATGTGGGGCTCAAACTCATGACCCCAAGATCAAGAATCACCCACTCTACAGACTGAGCTAACCAGGTGCCCCATCTACTCCTTACATCAAAATAATTTTCAGATCAAAGATTTACATGTGACTGCTGAAACCATAAAAGTTCTTTGTATTGGTATCATCTTCAAGGAAGGAAGATCATTCCAACAAAGATATGAAACCGAAGAAAAAAGGTCAAAAGGTTGATAAAACACCACAAAATTACAAATACCAACAGAGCAAAAACCACCATAGAAAACTGAAGATAAATAATACCCTACAAAACCTTTTTGCCACACAAATGACAAGCATGGAAATAATTTCCTTGAGTTAGAAAGAATTCCTGCAAATCCAGAAAAAGACCAACAATTCAAAGGGAAAAGAGCACAGCGTGAAGGAGTAATTCACACAGAAAAACACAATAGGACAATAAACACATGAAAAAAACATACCGCCTCACTCCTAATTTTAAAATTTCAAATTAAGGGGCACCTGGGTGGCTCAGTGGGTTAAGCCTCTGCCTTCAGCTCAGGTTATGATCTCAGGGTCCTGGGATCTAGCTCCGTGTCGGGCTCTCTGCTCAGCGGGGAGCCTGCTTTCCCCCTCTCTCTGCCTGCCTTTCTGCCTACTTGTGATCTCTCTCTCTGTGTCAAATAAATAAAATCTTTTTTAAAAATTTCAAATTAGGGGCGCCTGGGTGGCTCAGTGGGTTAAAGCCTCTGCCTTTGGCTCAGGTCATGATCCCAGAGTCCTGGGATCGAGCCCCGCTTCGGGCTCTCTGCGCCGCGGGGAGCCTGCTTCCTCCTCTCTCTCTCTGCCTGCCTCTCTGCCTACTTGTGATCTCTGTCTGTCAAATAAATAAATAAAATCTTTAAAAAATTTTTTTTCAAATTAAAACAACAATAGGACATTACTTTTATGTTATCAGACTAACAAAAACTAAAAGAATGATAATATAGCCAGAGTACGAAAAACATCGGCTCCCATATTCCATAAATGGAAGAAGCTCAACTTCTTTGGAGGGAAATCTGGAAGAAGCTACTAAAATTCAAAAAGCATATATCCTTTGACCCACATATTCCATATCTAGTAATCTGGTCTACAGAAATATACTCCCTCAGATGTATGCAAAGCTTTTCAAAGCATCATTGCTCATAATAGAAAAAACTGTATATAACAACCATTCATTAGCACATTTTGTTATCTTCACCGTTGAAAGCCAACAGTCGTTTAAAAAAGTGTGGCAAGACTGTATGGGGAAAAAAGTCCTGAACACACTGAGGGGGAAAAAAGCTAACAAACTGCCCAACAGTACATAGAGCGTGATTCCATTTGTGTTTTTTTTAAGAAGTATGTAAGGAAATAGAGACTATGGGAAGAACTTGCTGAGCTGTTAACAGTGGCTAACGAAAAAGGGACAGGCACTCGGAGATCCTTTCACTTTCTTCTTTCTCTTATTCTGTGGTGTTTTTTTCCCTCTTATAATGATTGTGATTCACTTTTATAAATGTAAAGTAATCATAGTTTGGACATCTCAAAACATCAATTACACGCATCCATCATACTTCAGAAGTATGGTTGGTTATTCATTCCCCCTATAGATCATGATAGCTAATGTACGAAAAAGCCGCACATATATTCCTATATCGCCAACATTTTTTATTATGACAGCAATGTTATCAGTATAATTGGTTTCCTTTGTAATCCTATGTTTTTTATCGTGTACACTGAAAAACATTCAGAAAAGCATCCACAGACTTCATCACACAACCAAAGACATGCATGGCACAAAAAAGGAAGATTCCCCAATGAACTTCCATACCCAAGAACTTGCTGTCTGCCTGGAGTCCTGGGGTCCATGAACACCTAATTGTTCTGACTTGCTTGGACTGTAAGAGTTGGGTTTTTTTTTTTAACTTTGGTTGGTGTCATTCGAAACTTCTTTTTAAATAGGGTGGGAGGTTGGGTGAGGCTGGTGGTGGTGATTAAGGAGGGCCGTATTGCATGGAGCACTGGGTGTGGTGCGGTGCATAAACAATGAATTCTGGAACACTGAAAAGAAATTTTAAAAATAAATAAAAATTTAAAAAAAATAAAATGGGAATATTTTCCTACCCCACATCGCCAGACTCCTATCCATAGGCTCCCCTCTTCTGAAAGAAAAGTGATTCTGATTCTTTGTCTTTTCAGAGGTTTGACTCCCAGTGTCCCAAACCATGACAACTACTTGGGCTCACACATCGATTGATAATCGCCCACCCGGAAGTGGGCAACTGGCGTAAAACCCGCACATGTCCGGTCTGGACCAGGGTCTGCTGGGAGTGGTGGCGGCGGCAGCAGCAGCTCGCATGCCCTGAGTGCTTACTTGCCTGATGGTTTCTTGTTGCCTCTCTTCTTTCCTTCGGTTGTGGTGAGCTGTGACCTGCAAAGTTTATTCTTCTTGAAATAACTTTTCACATGTGGACATCGCTCTCATTGGACGGAACTGCTCTAGGGCTTAAGTGGGCTCCACTGCTCTGTGCAGCTATCAGACCTTGGGAGACCCCACTCCTGGGCCTGTCTCCACCTCTGTAGGATGATGATACCTGCCTAACACTCTGCAGCCATGAACTTGCCCCATCCTCCCATCATTACAGGGGAATAGGGCCTTTTATGAGCCGTTTCTCAGGTGAGGCAGCAGGAGCTTACGGTCACTAGGTACTGTCCCTGCTGTAATGGGCAGCGACAGATTGGAAAGGTTACGATCTGGCAGTCTGGTTTCAGACTCTGAACGCTTAGAGAAAATGGGCATGTATGAGACCAAAGGGCAAAGTTGTGCCCTCCGTGCAACTGTCAGAGGCAGAGGCCGCTTGGTAACAGGCCACAGTGACATGGCGTCCTCTGCCTCCATGCCAGGCGAGGAAGAATGCTTTGCCAAATTCAGAACCCTGGAAAGAAGTGAGACCGTGCAGGATACCATGTGGAAGAAAGCGGCCATCTGTTGGTGGGTTACAGAAGGATTCCTTTGGGCTGGGACCTGGATGACAGCCCCCATTAAACCCTCCCTTCTATGCACAAGAAATACATGCCACATCATAGTTTTCTCAAATGGGGGAATTGGCAGGACTGCTTGCTTTTTAATTTCTGCTTTTCAATTTATCTGAAACAATCCACTTTCATAATTTTTAAAACCCTTTACTGATATTTTTAAAGACCTGAAAGACTTCCTTTACATCCAAGTCTTGGACGTATCTCATGAATGTGTTATTGGTTGTCTGATGATCTGTAACTTTTAGACTTTTATTTGGTGAAGCATTCTCTCTGCCCAGACACTTCAGGTAAGTGACAGGCAGAACTTAGAGACTCACTGGTTTTTCCCAGCATAGGACTCAGCGTGCTTGTCTAGAGACATCTGATGGGATAGCCTGCTCTCAAAGGCAATGACTTTTACTTGGAGTTATAAACATTTCAGCGCAGGCTCTAGGACACACATTCAAGAAGGAAGGAACTGTTGCTTGCAAACACTTCTGCAGCAGCTGCATTTGACCCGTCAAAAGAGAATCAGGGAGTAATGCCCTTTACTCCATACACAATCAATTCAGGTGAATGGAAGCGGTGCTACCGGGTCCATGAGCAAAATTTTCCCTTGTGCGCGTCAACTAGCTGCATCAACAGAGAATACCTCTACCCTTTTCTCTAGCCCCTTTGGCTTGGAGGAATCTGTCTGCCTCCCTACCCCGTAGTGCTTACAGTCATCTCCTATGTATGTACGTACGTATCTGTGTATGTATGTACCTACCTACTTACCATCCATGTACAGAGGATTTCTACGTGCTACTTTTAAATGCCATGTAGATGAACTCAGTTAATCTTCACAACAACCTTAGATGTCATTTTATCATTCATTATCCTAATAATAATATCCCATGTTATTATTATCCTCATTTAAGAAATGCAACTGGGGTACAGAGAGGTTGAGTAACTGGCCCAAAGTCACATCACGCCAAGTGTTAGAGCCAGGATTTGAACCGTGACTGTGTGGGATCAACCCCTACCCGTACTACTTCTTGCCTGATGGTTTCTTGTTGCCTCTCTTCTTTCTTTCAGTTGTGGTGAGCTGTGACCTGGAAAATTTATTCTTCTCGAAATAACTTTTCATATGTGGACATCGCTCTCGTTGGACTGAACTGCTTGAGGTCTTAAGTGGGTCCACTGCTCTGTGCAGTTATCAGACCTCGGGAGACCCTGCTCCTGGGCCTGTCTCCAGCTCTGTAGGATGATGATGATGATACCTGCATTGCCAAGTTCACAGGGGTATTGTAAGGATCAAAGGAAGCAATGCACATGAAACTGTGCCACCCACAGCACTCAGCATGGTGGCCTGTATATAGTCAAATATTTGACTCAGTCAAATATTTACACTCAAGGATCTGGGGATACATAGAAGACACAAAGTCCCTGTGCTCATGAGCTCTACACTCCACTGGGAAGGAGAAAAAAAACCTAATGTCTAGCAAATGTTAAATATGTCAAGTGGTGATCAGTGCTGTAAAATAAGGCAAAGCACAGGGGCGGGGGGGTGGAGAGTGATAGAGATTCCATTTCTGTAGGTGGTATGGCAAGGCCTGTCTCAGCAAGGGCCATGTGAGCAGAGGCCTGAAGGAAATGAGAGAGAGCCTTGTCCACATGGAGGAAAAACACTCTTGCCAGAAGGAGCAACAGGTGCAAAGGCCCTGAGGTTTGAGTAAACCTTGGGGGGGTTAAAGACTAGAAGGAGGCTACAGCAGCTGAAGATTCAGATGAAGGATTACTAGGTAAAATCACATAGAAAAGCCAAAAAAAACTTTGAAAACTTATGTCACCTCCACTACCACCAGCATCATCACCAAATCCTTGTCTGTAATCAAGTTTAAAACCTATTTATAGGGGTGAGGTAGTTGGCTAAGTGTCCGACTCTTGGTTTCAGCTCAGGTTGTGATCTCAGGGTTATAAGATCGAGCCCTGGGGCTCCATGCTCAGCCCTGTCTCCTTAACATTCTCTTTCCTCCCTCTGCCCCTCTCGCTTGTATGCTCTCACCCTCCCTCTAAATAATAAAAAAATAATAATAATAAAACCCAATTTTAAGAATAAAGAAGCCAAAGTGAATTATCAAAGTTACATAAGTGGCTTGGATGACATGATACCAAACATGCAGACGAAAAGAGAAACAGTCTATTTTATCCAAATGATTCCAAGAATAGGAACATGCATTAACATCCGCTGACAGAGAATTATTTTTTTTTTTCTATCCAGTGTCTACCTCTGTATGGATAAAGATTTTGTGGCATGTGAAATGAAGGTACGGGAGGTTCAGGACAGTAGAAGAATTATCTAGTTCCGTAGCAAAATGACCCAATGTGGCAGAGATTAAACAATAACCCCATTCCTCTTTTTTGTGGTCAAGACCTCTTTCTAAGACAGTGAGAGGGCCAGCGGAGTACAAAGGAACCAGGTCTCCAAAGCAGTCATGGTCCACATTCTGCGAAGGAGGAAGCCAACGATTCTCAGAGTGCCGAGCGCGAGACACCAGAGTTGTGACCAGAGCTCAATGACGTTTGCCAGCCTGTTCTTTCCTGTTCATGTTGCTGTGTCAGAGCTCCTGGGGGGGATGTGTGACCCTTTAATTAAGGCAAACACAGTCACATCATCTCAAGGGAGACGGCAGTGTCTGCTGAGCATGAAATCCGCCCACTTTCTAGATAACAGAACCACTCCATCCTCTTGAGTGACCTGACGTACGGACGCTAGGAAATCTGTGCAGGCTGGAGGCGCACCATCGCCATCTCCAAAGTGCTCAGGGAGCCGGCCGGACTCAGAGCTCTGAGCCCATGTGGAGAAAGGGGCCAGCGCGTTCTAGTCTGTTTCTGTGATCCATCAACACTGCACCAAAGGTTGCTGATAATTATTTTTTTTTTAAAGAAAAAAATGCAAAGCTTTCTGGTGGCGGGGGCAGGGGGAGTTATCCCCCAGAACAGGTTTCTTCTACATCTAAATAACGCTTGGCTGAGGATGGGGGATTTGAGTTTAACAGCGGAAATACGAGAAGGTTCTCTAATGGAAAGCAACCCAAGTTCCCCTGCTGTAGGGGCAGCGACATCGCCGTCCCTGTCATTGCCATCACCTGCTCAGAGAAAGCTCCCAGTGCTTGTGCTAACTCATTCACATTCTTGATGTCTCCATTTCGCAGATGAGGAAGGTGAGGCAGAGCCAACCCTTCAAAACTAGTTCCCGAGGGGAATAAGACAATGTGAGTATGGATATGAAGCAGGTGTTCCTATTTCAAAAACTGCAAGACACACACCTACTTCACACAAGACACACTTGGACATTTGGAGTCGTGAGGTCTGCTTTCCCTGGAAGACTGCGAGCGCCTTCCTCAACAGAGAAGGGATGTGGGCTTCCCACACCTCTGACGGAGGATGAAGGAGGTATCCCAGACCCACCCAGGCCAATTCCCCAAATCCACAGATGTGGGTCTCGCGGCCGGAGGAGCCTGCGGGCCACTCACCTGCTCAAAGCCACTTTTGCAAGACTCCTGGCCCGAAAAGAGGATAATGGGAGGGATTATTCCCATTTGGAGGGAATATGCACGTAGAACCTTAAAGCAGAATCTGTCCCTAATCAGTTCCCAGCCAACATACACACCAGGCAGTGGCTCCCGAACTTCAGGGTGATTTCAGGTCGACCAGGGAGTTTGCTACCAAAGCTAATTCCTGCGCCCACCACAGACAGCCTGATTCTGAAGGTCAGGTGTAGGGTTCTAGGACAGCATCACGGAAAAGTACCCTAGGAGAAGCCAACAGATCCCCCACTTAGAGAAGCAACATCCTAGGCCCATAGTACCTGCTGGGTCCACAATGAGGGGGGCACTGTGCTTTTACAGAAAGCCACTTTCAACCACTGACAGGGTTCAAACTGACGGCTTGACGTCTAGTACAATGTCTCTTGATTAAATAGATTTTCTTAAAAGTTAGGATTTTTTTTTGTATGCAGTTTTAAATTGTTAAAAAATATACCCCCCCCCACACACACATAGAATTATGTTATTTTAAAATTAAGAGCGGCTTTAAAACTAAAAGCATAGAGAACAGAGTCACATTGCTTTCTCGTCTGGAAGTTTTGCTTAATGCGAGGTTTTGGACAGTGGGGCATACAGGTCATTCTTTGGGAGCCCACTTGTCTCTAGGCTTGAGAAGGGGAGGTCCCCGCACAACCTCCAGAGTTTTGGACGCAGTCCCCTGCGCCATTTCCATAGCCCCACGCCTCGAGTAAAACACCAGGTTAGTGGAAAGTGACAGCACAGAATGATGAGCCAAAAGAACTTTCCTTCTCTTAGACCATATCTATAGAGCAGCTGATTATTTGAGAAATGCAAAATCTGAGGAAAAGGAGGGACTGTTCACGCAATCTTTGCTAGCTCTGATTCCCACTCAGAACAATGGTTTGGTAACAAAAGCTAACCTTTACCGGGTTCTTAGGAACGACACAGAGTTTTCTATGTGTGGTGTCTCATTTCATCCCCCCAGCAGTCCTGTGAGGTGGGTACGATGACGATTTCCATTTGAGGGATGAAGAAGTTAAGAAACTCACCGGGCTAGTAAGAGCCTGTCAGGATCTACACGTGGGTCTCTGAGCCCGAAGCCCATGTGCCAGCCCACGAGGCTACGCTGTCTCTCCACGTGCATGTTGTTAAGTATCAGGATGGTAAAATGCCACCCACTAGTGAGGCGCTGGTCCTCAGAGACCGCATGCCTTGGAGACAGTCGCTTCTCAGCCCAACCAGGCCCCAGCGAAACCTGGCGTACAACGACAGCATCCTGCCTTCTTACTTCATGGTGCGCTCAAGGCTTCACTTAAATGGAACCCGCTATCCTTGGCGGTCACCCCCAAACTGCAGGGGCTGCTGTGTCCTTCCTTTGGAGCTCGCGAGCAGACCAAGTCACCTGAGAATCGGGAAGGAGAGTCTCGGGCCCTGCTTGCCCAGGTGACCCACTCAGGAAGCAAGGAGACAGTTTGTGTTGGTCCATCAAGTAAAACCTTTTCTTTCCGGGTTTAATAAAGGGGAGATGAAGTCCGAATTGCCCCAAGGCATCTGAGCTCTCCCGGGCCTACAAGCTCAAAGGATACCATGCGCACTCGTCTCCCCCACACTCACAGGCAAGCAAAGCAAGGAAGGTCTAACTAGTTCCCTGAAGAGAGATCAAAAGCTTGACTCTGCTGTGGTTTGGGGGGGAGGGGGCAGGGGCAGGCAGTGGTTACTCAGTGGCTGAAAGCAAGGGTTCAAAGAAAAACCTGTACATGTTCAGAGCAGCATTATTCACAACACCCAGCAGGTGGAAAAACCCCAAATGTCTATCACCCGACAAATTTGTAAAAACAATACATGGTATATACATGCGATGGAATATTATTCAGCGATAAAACGGAATGAAGTACTGATTGTACTAGACCATGCTTGAAACGTTATGTTCAGTGAGAGGTGCCAACCCCAAAAGACCCCATATTGTATGATTCCGCTTCTAGGTCCCACCCTATGCATTTCAACATTTTGCCCCACAACCCAAGACGCTGTTCCAATGTGGCACTCTTGCAGATCCACAAGTGGTCCTGGACTGTCCCTTGGCAGTCCTGTTGTCTCCATCACCATAGAATACCCAGATCTACAACACTGTTGTGGGGGGGGGGGTAGTGGGAAGGAGAAATAGTCGTAGAAGAGTCAAATTTGGATGGATAACATGTGGATAAAATAGAAAATAACTTTCCCTGAGCCCAGGTTCCCCAACGCGAGACTAAACTGGGGGTTCTAGAGCCCTAGAGGGTAGAACTTGAGAATCTTACTTAAATCACCATATCCCAGCAACGGCTGTATGTATGTGTGTGTTTCTTAACCAAAAGAGGTCACATTTTTATTCTGGATTACACCATCACAGCTAGCAAGCTACTTCCTAATTGTTTTTGTTCTGCGCATATTTGGAAGCTGAACGTATCTAATTTGGTTTCACGCTAAGAGACAAATGGAAACTCACAGATGAACCTCTCTACGGCATCTAGCTCCGATCAGCCTTAAGCTGACAGGGAATTGGCAGTTTTTCCAAGTTTCCTTCTCCTTAAATGCTAATAAGCCAGGATGGTGTGGAAATCAGTGTTTCCATAAGCCTGTTTTTCTTTTCCTTTTGTAAAGCTCATTCCAGAGCCCTCTGGAAGGCTGCATGTTAACGAACCGACTCCAGCTCAGGAGAACGCAGGCAGGTTTCCAGGAGCCTGAAAGGCCCAGCAGCTTACCGCTTCCATCAGGCCCTTCACTGTAGGTGATTTCAACATCAAAGCGTCGAACACATCGTCCGTCTCCTTCCGCACGTACAACAGCACTGGAAGAGAAGCAGAGGGGAGGCGTGACCGAGGAGCCCACGCGGACGACCGCTGCCAGGCCGCTTCCTGTCACACACATGTCAGAGGTGGACAGTATCTGCGAGGTTGTGGAGCCCAGATGACCCAGACGACCCCACCAAGGGTGACTGCCACCCCTCCACAGCTGACACGCAGCCAAGGGCTTAAGGGTGCTTCGAGGGAGTGAAGGGACAAGTGTGTCACACCGAGCGGACTGTGACGCCTTCCCACACTGTTCACATTGGAATTGCTCAAGGCGGGCCCATTATCTCCTTAGGACATCTCTTTCTGTGACCTCTGTCTTCTACCTATTCATTGGATCGTTCAACAAATATTGCCAAACACCCATCAGGCTGCGTGCCGGTAGCTGAGGTTGCAGCAGTGAATTAAGACATGGTCTGACCTTAAGGAATTCGTCGTCCCTTAGAGAGGCAGGCATTCCTCGAATAGACAGACAGCCGGACGGGGCTGGACGAGTTCAGAAGGAAAAAGACGTGAGAGAGTGCTTACAGGGGCCTGAGCTTTTCACGGACGTGGGGAGAGAAGACAGGGAAGGCAACTCCAGGCAGACAGACCAACCATGCCCAGGCCCGGGAGGGAGAAGCCCAGCACCCCGAGTACAACCGGCCTGACCTTGACCCTAGTTCAGCCGGCTGTGGGACCCTGCTTCCTTAAACCTCTCCAAGTGCTGGTCTTCCCCGGACCACAGGGGAATGTCATCATCTACCTCACAGCCTTGTGCAGCGGTTAAATGAACAGCATCCACGTGGCGCACTCAGCACCGTGCCCAGCACACAGCAAGCCCGCTCCTCCATCTCGGACGCCATTATGAGGCACCTGGCGTGGCTCTTGTGCCCTCTGCGAAGGGGAATGTGGCTTTGTGCTCACTTCTCTGTAATGTAACCGTCTCTAACTTAACAGTCTCAAGTTGATGATGAATAGACTAGGAGAGATGGTAGTGGCCCCAGACACCACGAGAGAGGAGAAGACACTCTCAGTGGATACCCTTCCTTACAGCAACTGCACGAGGCTTAGCTCCCAGAAACTGCCATTCACATGAGACCCTCCAGCCCCCTGAGTGGACTGCAGTTTCTCCCTCCTTCAATGATGTGGCTTCTGGTTCTAACTGCAGAGGAAAAGAAAAGCGCCAGGGCTGCAGCCCCCTCTGCCTGGCTACTACAGGAAGAGTGTGCAGCCAAGGAACCCTGCTGAGCTTCCAACCACAGTCAGGTACCAATGGAGCCATGGTTACCACCAAGCTGAAAGAAGTCAGAGATGGAAACCGAAACCAGCTCTAACCCAAACTCCTGCCCCTTCCCTCACTCTTCCCCAGGCCCTAGGGACCTCGATAATGCTGCCTGCTTCATGAAGGCCAAGTCTACGCGGGTGCACGGGGGCTCTGCCTACATTTTCTCTCTGCAGGCAAGAGATGTTCAGTTTGTGTATGACACAAAAGAGAAAAAAAAAAAAACCCTGAAGTATTGCAAAGTTTCTTCTCTTTACCAAGTATAAAAATAAACTACCAATTTAATAAACAGGTTGAAAGTGTCTCCAAAGATTTCAAAATTTAGAGGAATATTTCTAATCTTCATTTTAGCTCGAACGATCCAATGGCCTACTCGCATTATAAGAGGTCTCAAGGTCAGTGGCATAACGAGGAACAATTAGACCAGAGGACCTCAGTTACAACTAGATGAGGACAATTAGATTGAGAAGAGGGGTGGCTGTCACAGTGAACATTCTATAGGTTCTCCCCACAAGCCCCAAAGGAAAAATGTCACTTCCAGCAGGCTGACCCTAAGGGAACCCCAAACATATTCTGTTAAAATGAGTACTTCCATTGGATTTACAGATTTTTTTTTCTTTTAAACTCTTTGTCTTTGAAATGATATGGCTGACACCCTTGCTACAGGTGTCGGGGGAAGGGGCTAGAGGCACCCTAGTGGCCTGTGGCAGAGAGCCTGGCAGGGTGGTGCCCCCTCGCCCCCGCTGGGCTCACAGAGCACCTCCCCAGCTTGCTCTGGGCAGCAGCTGTGGTAACCATGGGGCTGTGGCGGCGCGCGCACAAGCATCCATCTGCTCACAGTGGCCACTGCAGCGATGGTGGCCAGCATGCACCCCAGACGTTAGGGCAAAGGCAGACAGCCGCAGGGGCAGGCTCCCAGTAACTCCCACAGAGCCAACCAGGGAAGTGGCTACAAAGGCAGAGCAAAGGACAGCTTTGGTGATAACTATGATCATTTTCTCTCCTGGAGAACTTCTAAGAAATAAACAATGGGAACCATCAGTGACCCTGATCCCTCTTGTTCTGGCAAGGACCAGCTCTGACTGGGAGCTCCAGGCAAGGGGCTCAGTAACTCCACTGTCCTTTTCCAAAGGAAAGCCACACCCAGGAGACCACGTGCTCAGCCCCGGTAGCTTGCAGCGCCCTCGTGTGTCTCTGTGATTTAGATGTTTCAAAGGCAGTAGACTTGTTTTTTGTCACAGCCCAATAGAATTCCCAGGGGCAATTTTTATACTGACTTCACAATCTCAAAATAACCTGGAAAACACAACCTTTGGGCTAGCCAGCATGCACTAAATATGGATGCAAGCTACAATTACTTTTGCCTGTGTGATTCCTGATTTCCATATAATTCTTCCTTCGTTCTAAAGTAGGTGATAGAAAAAGCATGCAAGAACGAAGCCTGAAATGCACCTGAATATTTGATGGGAAGACTGTGAAACCAATTTTCAAAAGGTTTAAATGTTGCTAATGTAATTAACACCACCCAGGTATTTATGCTCTTTCCATTTTGAAACACTAATTGCTTATTCACAATGAACGGACGTAACTAGATCCAGACCTAATAAAAGTCACAGCTGAAATAGTGAACAGAGTGCTTTCTGTGTGGAAGGCACCCGGGGGACGTGTTCAACATACACTGAACTCCATCAGTCCTCACAGCAACTCCACAGGTACGTACTCTCATCATCCCTGTTTTTACAACGAGGACTCGAAGGAGCGGAGGGTCTCCCCAAGGTCGTACCACTCTGGAGAGCTAAGGAAGGCTACAGAGGGGATGCTCTTGACCATTATGCAAATCCCATTACAACAAGCAAAAAGAAATATAATTTCTCAGTAAAAAAAAAAAAAAAAAAGTCAAGTCTGTGTGGATGGAGACCATATTTAACAGGGTAGCCTGACTCACTGGAAGTCCAGCATGGGAAGTCTAAGATCTCTGGAAGCTCTTGGCGTTGGCCACAGGACAGGAGGGGAAATGGCCATTCCCCACATGCTCCTCATCCTCCAAGGAAGGACAGCGAGTCACGTACAGTATCGAAAGGCAGAACGAAACACTGTCCCACACTGACTTCCTCTCTTACTCTCTTGATGAAGTGATAAGACCCTTGCCTGAGAGAAAGTGAAGAAAGTGAAGAAGTTGTGATGTCAGGAAACAAGCTCCTTTATCTGTTTGCATCTCTGGAACGATTCTCAGCCGCTACTGCCTCAGAGACAGTACTGTCTCATGTGCAGCAAAAGCTTCTTCCTGACCTTGGACCTCACTGCTGGCTCATCAGTACCTTCGGCAGCTTTCTCCCAAGGCAAAGGAAAGAACAGTGCCCAGAAAGAATAAATGTTTGCTTAAGGTGCTTCAAAGGACAGGGCCGGAAGTGAAGGGGCCGACTGTGGCGTTCCTGCGTCAGTAACCAATCCCAGGCCAGCCGTGAACCACGGGGTCTGGGCTGGGCTGCACAGGCTTCTGTGTGAATCACCCCCCCCATCCCCGTTCGTGATGGGAGGCTGGGTAACCCTGTAAAGCCAGAGGGGAAATACCTCGCTTCATCCCTTCTTCTTTCAGCTGCTTAGAAGGTGCTGGTCCAAATTCCTCTTCCATGGGCCTGAACATCCGTTTAACAAGGACACTGCTGCTAGAAAAGATGAGCAGAAATTGATTAGTAAAGCAGGCAGGGAGTCACAAGAAAGGTTCATGTACATGTCTGGCTCTGTCTTTTTCCTTTGTTTGTACCATCCCTAGTTCTCTACAGCTGGATCCACTCAGCAACCTCCTTCCTCTCCCCTGCAGGTTGCAAGTCATCCCTGTCAGGGGCAGGACACACACGCCAATATCTTTAGGGCATGAACCAAGGACATACTGCCCATTACTGCATATGGATCCACTAAGATGAGACCCCTGGGTTTTACGTGCCCTGTCCTGCCCCTAACCCCCTTCCTACTCCAAAGATCAGGGCCGGGATGGGGATAGCAGGAGTGAACGTGGTCTGTGTGATCTCCAAATTATGAGCTCCTCCCACTGAGCTAGGGCCTGAGTGTCCCACACTCTCTTGCCAGCCCGTGAAGAGCACAGCGGGGGCGGCCGGCAATGGGACGGGTTTCCCAGGCTGGTTCTCAGTTCTGAGGCTGCCCTGACTTCCTGCTGTCCTATGGCTCCATCTGGTTGGAGCAAACAAGACTGCAGTGGTGGGAGTTCCCCCAGACACTCAGACCTCGACCACCCAGCCCCTCCCTCCTCCTTGGGATGGGGGGGGGGTCTCAGTATCTCCCGGACCCCCATATGGTGCTGAGTCCCCACATGTCCCCGCAGGAGCCAGTGCTGGTGGTTTTGCATTTCCTCCGGAAGTTCCTGTCCATTCTGGGTACTCTAGGGAAGTACCCTCCTCCGAGGAAGGGGAGGAGTCCTGGGGAGGAACAGAAATAGGAAGCACAGACTACCACTGAAGAGAAGTCATTGGTGCTGAGTGTTGTGGCCTGCCATGTATGTATCTTCCCAAATTCATATGTTGAAACACACTCTCCAGTAAGATGTCATTCAGGGGTGAGGCCTTTGAAAGGTAATTAGGACAGGAAGGTGCAGCCACCATGATGGGATTAACAGCCCAAGAAGAAAGGACTGCCTTGTGAGACAGAGTGAGAAGACGGCCATCTGCAAGCCAGAAGAGGGTTCTCACGAGACACCGACCATAAGGGCACCTGATCTCATACTTCCAGCCTCCAGAACTCTGAGAAATACATTTCTGTTGTGTAAGCACCCCTGTCTGTGGTGTTTTACTAGAGCAGCCAGAACTGGCTTAGATATGAAGAAAATGCTCACGGAGTCTTGTCATTCTTCAAGCCCTCAAGGGAGTTGCCAGGTTTTCGGAAATTTTTTTCTCTCTTTGGAGATTCTTGGAACTAGGCATAGGAAGCAGTGCCAGACAGGCAGTTCAACAGAATTATTAAGACATGAACTCTGGGTCCAGACATCTTTGGTTTAAACCCCTGCTTTACAATTTACCAGCTATGGGAACACAGACAAGTTCCTCAACTGCCATGAGCTTCAGATCCCTTGTCTTTAAAAGGAGACTGTTAAAAGAATTAAATAAATTTGACACCATTGCTGGATATACGGTAAGTGCTACCGAAGTGTTAGAGAGGACGATGACAGTGACAATAAAGGTGGAGAGATCAGAGAAAGCAAGATATGGATAAGAGTAAGTATGGCAGAGAGCTTGAAAGATGCCAAAGTTTCCCTGGACCCTCAGAGAGCAAAGAGTGCACTTTGGTGCAATTGAAGGACCCATGTTGGAAAAGCTTCCTGAATGAGAAGCTGAGACGCTTCCAAGAGAGTACAAAACCCCACTACAAAGACAATTCCCCACTGGCATCATTGTCATGAAGAAGCTATTTGTCAATTCTCAAGTCAAGCTAGTGGTGGGGTCCAGTGGTACAAAGAGCAGAAGGTGCAGAACTATGGACGGTCCAGAAAGTATTTCTATTAAATCTATTAAATTATTAAATATTAAATGTTTAATATATCATAAACATAATATAAATATAAATATATAGTATATATAATTTTTATTTTATTATTTTATAAATTATAAATTTTATTATTCCAAATACATAATATATAAATTTATATAATATATAAATATAAATTTATATAAACATAACATATATTTTTATATAATATAAATATTATAATAAATATTAAATATTATTAAATTATTAAACCAACAATGCTTTAATTTCTCATCTCATATGCCTAGTGCTCTGAAGAGGTCTCTCAGTTTTTTAAAAAGACTTCACATTTTATAAAGTCCTTGAAATCTTCTTGGTCACTGAGGTCTCAGGAACACCATGTGAGCCAGCCAGGGCAATGGTTAATCTTATCCCTATTTTAGTGAAAACCAAAGTCAGGCTCAGTGTGTGCAAGGGTAGGTAGGGTGATGTGGCTAACAAGTAAGATAGGCTGTTTAGAGAATGCAGCTTTGAGGGACAACCTCATGATAAAGGTGCTCAGGAAATCTGACATGATGATGTGAGGGTATGAGAAATGATATTAAGAATCAGCATTCTCGGAGTGCCTGGGTGGCTCAGTGGGTTAAAGCCTCTGCCTTCGGCTCAGGTCATGATCCTAGGGTCCTGGGATGGAGCCCCACATCAGGCTCTCTGCTAAGCAGAGAGCCTGCTTCCTCCTCTCTCTCGCCTGCCTCTCTGCCTACTTGTGATCTCTGTCTGTCAAATAAATAAATAAAATCTTTAAAAAAAAAAAAAAAAGGAATCAGCATTCTCTTTTATTCCCAAGTAAGTCAAACTGTGAAAATAACTAGAGAGAAAACTCAAACTCAAGTCCCAGTTCACAGTGGTAATAAGTTGTTAGGGCACTGTTCCCTGTGTTTTCACCTCACTACCTTATCATAAAAGCAGGTCATGTTATTCCATTGCGTCTTGGAAATGGGATGACCATGACCTTGGGAGCAGAAGATTAAAAATCAATTCACACAACTGCTGGCAACCAGTAGGTTAATAGCAGGTAAATAGCCTGAAATATCACCAGACATGCTCTCATGCTGTGTGAGGGTTCCTAAACTGGTGATTTTCCTTTTCTCACCAAGCAACATTTATTTATATTCTTCCAGTCCTGCTGGCTTTTGATAGCACCCCATTCTGAGTCATGACAAACTCTGCCATTAAAATAACATCTTGGATAAACCACACTTCTCTTGGGAGTTCAAAAAATGCTTTTTCACGATTTCCAACCTATAAAACTAGCAGGAGTCAATAAGTTTGTGTGGTCTGATTTAAAGGTTTCATTTATTTTCAAAGCAAAGCAAGAAAAGAGGAGCAGGTATGACAGACCCATTTGATAGATGAAAAGAACACAAATTTTTCAGGTCTCCCCATGTCCTGTCCAATTACGCTGCGCTGTACCACTGATGGACTGGAGAACCAGGAGAAGGCGCTTTCTCTGACGTCAATCTCTGTCTCACTGGCACATATGTGGCTAATATTGGGGTGACTCCGGGTTCAGCAGCATATGAAGCCATTGCCTTGTGGGGTCAGTCTCAGGGAAAGAGAGTCCCTGAGATATAAACAAAGAACTGCTAAGGTGTTCGGATCTAAAGCCTGGGTCTCTGGCCATACCCACCAGGCTGAGCTGCTCTAGCCATTCATGCCAAGTGCTGAGGCACCGAAGTAAGGTGCAAAAACAAGCTGCAGGCACCATGGAGACACAGTTTGTCTATTTCACATCTACATGTGCCAATTACCATGTATGCCCCCAAATAAAGTGAGCTTCCTCCCCTATTAGCCTCAGAAAAGAGGAGACTCTCTTGTGTTCAAGTCTTACAAGGTCCCTCACAGTATGGAGTAGGATCTCAATTAATTTCAGTAACAAATTACTCTTTGGGTAATCATCCCAAAATGACTTTAATCAACACTAATCTGGGGTATTGATAGAACTCATCTAGCAGAATGAGCAAAACAAACAAAAGCCACACCTAGATTTAGTAACGATTACTACAGTTAAGAGCTCAAAAATGCCAAGTAATAAATGATGAGGTTAGTAGGCCCCAGTAGGGTCGTCTGAAGAGGAAATACAGGTATTTCTGGTCCTGATGACATGCAGCTGGTGGTAAGCCAATGTTCTAGCCAAGAACAATGTGAAAACTACAAAATTAAACAGCAGACAGAAGACCTCTTGAAAGTAGTGGAGACTGCTGATGGGGCAGTCAGGGCTGGAGAAGCCTAGGTCTCAGGGAAGGGAATGCAGAGAGATGAGCTGGTCGTCAGTGAGCCACTGTCCCCTCAAGAGCATCTGCCAGTTCTTGACAGGGAACAGAAGGTGAGAACCCCAGCTGAGGCCCATATGCAAGGATTAAAATGTTTGCACAGCTTCTTGTAATCTTACAGCGTTAGAGAAATAGAAATTGGTGTTTGGGGCTGCAAAGGCATCTAGGACTTATGGAAAAACTTCCAGAGAGTAAGCAAGCACAGAGAAGCAAATCAGACAATGCAGTCTTCCTTTTGAGATACCTGCCAAGCCCCTAAACTGTAGAGGACAAGAACCTAAGAAATTAAACAGAAAGTCCTTGAAAATCATAGAGGAGGTTTTAGTAGTCTCCCTGTGTGAAAGAGACAAAAATCAGATTTCAGATCCCACCAAGGAAGAGGGCCCAGAGAAAGTCCATCAGAGCTAGTCTAGGGGTTAGGATGAAGTAGTTTGAGGCTAATACAAATTGCAACCTAGCAGAAGGTCAGTTCTGTCCCAAATGGAGTAATAATTTGCATTCATTCAGACTGCACACCAGAGGACAGGGAAAACCTTCATAAGACAAAAACATGGTCAGCTAGATCTTCCATAATCTTTATATACATTGTTCACCATTCAACTAACGCTTATTAAATATACTAATAAACAGGACCAAGAGAAAACCAGGCGATAGAAACAGGCCCACAGAAAACACACTTAGTGAGTTACCAGATGTGAACTTAAAAATAATTGTCATTGTGTTCATGAATACAAGTGTCAAGACATATAGAGCTGGAATCTAGTAAAATAAATAAACCAATTAAGTGTAAACCCTAGAACTAAAAAGTATGATAACTGAAATTAAGAACTCATTAGATCAATAGAAAATATCCAGGC